ATTAGTACAAGAGAGGGAGTCGCGAAATTAGATTCCCTTGGGGTTCATTGATTGAATATTGGCTCCGGGCGCGTCAGCTGCTAAGATCATTCCTCTTTAGTGTTGACATTTTTTTTAATCTCGGGAGGTGGTGAGGAGGTCTTCCGTTGACTGACGAGGTCCGGCGCTGACTTGGATCGGCTTGCGGGCATTTTCGCCAACCAGGTATCGCTTCTACTGCGGAGCTTCGCCACAGGATTCTGCGTCTCTTACGCAATCTGCAGGATCGCCAGCGCGTGTGTACGTCGCCAGATGACGTAGGGATGGCTATCGAATATATCCACTGTTATCGATATAGGATTGCGATGCGGATTGAAGATTGCGTAGGAAAACGTATTTACTAATTCCCCATTGAAGTATAGAATTGCGTTTAAAGTTACTTTTGAAGCTAAGACGAAAAGTGGATATTTTTCGGAATAGCGGTTTACGCACATTTGCTACACTCCACCACGGCTGAAATGACTATGTTTCATCTACCATTCTCGCACTAATTTATCTTGGTAGGGGTGCAGGGGTGATGTCAGGTATTTATTCTTGGAATAAAAGCATTGTTTTTCAGGTGTGGTGCATGCATGTGTTTTTATACACTAACCTGTTACTGATTATAGTGGTATATTAATGAAATTATTCAAATTATTATTTCAGTAATCATAATAATTTGGACGTCAGTACCACAGTAGGTATTTGCGTTGGTAATATTCGAGTCAGTGACTGTAAGAATGGCCTGATTGCAATCATTTTCGTGACGAAGAGTGACCTAACAGCAATAAATAGGAAACGCACATAATGTACATTATCTCGCTGCAGACTGCAGTTAGGCCAGTACCTCATTTGTAACTAAAGTCTTCAGTGTAGCAGTTGATGTAAGATCCTGTAAAACGTGTGTACGAACTAGACCGAGGATCTTCAAATCGACTTGCGATTAACAACACAGAAATGGCCAATTTAAAATGTGAGTGGACAAAAAAAAATCCCTAAAGTGAAAGGAGATGAGGAGCTCGTGAGATGATCGAAGTTTGGCATTAAAACATATCGATAGGCGAAGTCTAGCTGCGTACTTGCCATTCAATGTCTTTGTAACAATCTTCTCGCATTGCTTGGGAACGTGTGATCGTTCAAAAAAGGGAACGAAGTATGAAGTGGGGGTGGTTCACTGCGACATGAAAGTTAACCCTCTTGTCCCGTAATCACAAGGAATTGCGCTTGCAGTGCGACCGGTCGTAATTTGCTGCCCTAATCACCAATTCACACATTTTTATTTATTGTTTTAATGCCAAAAAAACTACATTTCTTCGTAAATTCGTAGAACTATTCTTAGCGCTTCTATTCACTTGGAACACAACCCTGTGGACTTAACACAATCCTGTACGTGTGCAGATCTTCAGATTACGAAACAGTATCTTGAGGAAAATCAGCAGGCAATCGGATTCGTTCGCGAGGTTGTGGCCACAGATACTGATGTACGTATGTATGTATTACGTATGCACGCATGTAAATGATATGCACTCCCTATTGTCATCCAACTACGCTTTTCGGTGGCTTTGCACATTCATTACCCGGGTGAGACATAGCTCCTGGTGGGGTCAGTCGGGTGACATAGCCACCTTGTCCTCAACCATCACTTCCATGCGGCTCGTGATCCTACACCGGTCTGATGTATATTCTGTGTGCTTATATAACTCGTAGGCCTGTCGGTGCTTGGATCGGATTTAGCGGAAGGGATTTAGGTTGAATCTAGACCCTAGTGTTTATGTGTATTGCACTCAGTCTACCATATTAATTTATCTTGGCGAGGATTGAGGGGTGATGTCTGGTATTCATTCTGGGAATAAACACCACGCCACAAAACAAACGGAAACATCCAGGCTTAGGCTACGGTCATAGTGTAGTCGAAAAATTGTCCTGAAAGTGCACTCTAATGTTGTATCCGAATCGCTCGAATATCCCCAAAATTCTGAAGATCATTGTTTTAAACATTTGCGGCAAGCCAACACCCCCTGCATATATTGAGAGGATGTTGGACAAGCACGCTCAAGACCATCTACGTTGTCTTAGTATAACAGAAGACCTTGACCCTCCAGCTGATATCGGCCGAATTGGCTGCCAAAATCAAACCAAAAAGATCTTCGCCCGATGTATCCAGATGCCGTCGTAAGAAGCTGATCGGTTTCAATTTACCCATTTTCACGTGTTTGAACGAATCGGGCCTAGCGGACACAAACGTCCAACATCCGCCGATTGAAGTTTCGGCCAAAATCGGTTCCATTCTGACCGCCGCCTTACGCAGTACTCGAAGTCACAGAGACGGTCCAAGCTCTACTTGAGGCTGCGCCACGACGAACGCGACCTTAGCGCTCTTCGCTGGTCGTGATGACCCGGTGCGCCCAGTGCTTTGCAGCGCAGTTCCGTGTGGCCGCAGTAGTGCAATGCCGCCATCACTTCCCTGCTGTGTAGCCATCCCTATCCTTTCTGACATCTACGGCTGATCTGAAAATAGAGAAAAGAACATGGTCAGGAAAGACAATAGCCGTTCGGCGCGCTTTTGGCGTTGTTTACCTGCAATTTCCATCACGTATTGGCGTCTCGCCTATTGTAGCATATCTGTCGGGCGCTTGTACGTGGCCGTGGGATCCGGCTCGTACAAAGATAAATTTATTAGTATGTCATTATTTGACGGCGGAGCGCTGAGTGGCCGCCCTGTGCGCAGGCGCTGTCGGCGGAGTCGAGCGTGTTCGAGGCGCAGGTGGCGGAGCTCAAGTCGGCGCTGGAGCACGAGCAGCAGGCGGCGGAGGAGCTGAGGCGCGAGGTGAAGGAGCTGCAGCAGCGCGAGCGGCGGCTGAGGGCGGCGGCGGCGACGGCGCGGGCGGCGGCCGGGGCGGCGGCGGCCCCAGCGGGAGGAGGTACGCCGCCGACCCTTGCGGCGCCCTCGTTGCGCGCCTCGCCGCCGCCACCCCGGGCTCCCGACCCGGCCCCCCGGCACCGCCCCGCCCCTGCCCGGCTCTCGGCCCGCCCGGCGCGCCCGGCCCGCGCTCGCGGCCCGTCAACGCGCCGCCGCCCGCGCCGGCGCGCCTCCGCCCGCGCGCTGCGCTCCGCCTGAACCACGCGGTGCGCCCGCCCCCGCCCCTGCCCCACCCCTGCAGGTTGCCCGCCCCCTGCCCTCCCCCTTCCCCGCCTCCCCTGCCGCGCCTCGGCCCCCCTCACGAGCCGTCACGCGCCGCCGCCCGCGGCCGGCCGCTCCGCCGCGCGCGCGCCTCGCCTGACACACGCGGTGCGCCCGCACCCCGCCCCTGCCCCACGCCCCTGCCCCTCCCCCTTCCCCGCCTCCCCTGCCCCGCCCTCGGCCCCACCCCCCCGCCAAACGAACCCCGTCACGTGCGCCCGCGCCGGCACCGCTTCTGTTCCTAACCCACACACAGCCGCGCGCGCGCGCGGGGCGTCTGGAGAGAGAGACTCTACATCACACACGTTTTCTTTTGCTAAGTTTTTTTGTTGTCTTTTGCTACGAAGCTTTTATATGATTTTGTATGTAATTTCAATAAAGAACTTTTTGTAATTAATCTGTGAGTGTTCATTTTTTGGAGTTGTTTTGCATTGCTGCACCAAAGCAGTCGTTTCCAGCAGGCATCCATGTCCGTCTTTAAGGTTATATTTGTGAAGAATGTTCGCCCTCACCAGAGTCTCCGACACTGCTCATGGCATATCTGGCGCTCCCGGTCTCAGGCCACCTCTACCACTGCCCAGCTCACGCGTCCTGGTGAAGAGAGAGAAGAGAAAGGAGAAAAAGGAAGAGGAGAACGAGAGAGGCAAGAGAGAGCGAAAGAGAAAGAGAGAGGGAGAGATAGACACACACACACACACACGCGTTTTCCTTTGCTATGAGAGAGAGAGAAAAAAGATAGAGAGAAAGAGAGAAGAAAAGAGAGAGAAAGAGTGAGAGGTGTTTCTAAAAGTCATTTAAAAATTTGACCTACCGCACGGATGAACTACATATTTAATAATGTAGGATGTTTTGGGTATTTACACATTTCTTATAAATTCAGTACTGTCAATGCATTTTAACATGACAACTTTCAAACTTCTCATTTATTGTAGATCATGTTATTATACATTTTATGATTGAAATTTTTTTTTTGCGAAAACGTTCAAATATATCGTTGAACGGAGGAGTAGCATTACATTGTTTCTAGATTCGTTTTTTGCTCAATGCTGAATTCGAAATTTCAATTATATCCAGTGCATTACAACTGTCGCGTTGAAACGGTTTTCGATGCTTCAGAAAGACTTTTCAGTACTGATCAGCTGCTGTTTCGACAAGAGACTGTAATCCCAGCTGCTGTACATATGGGTCGGGTACACAACTTCCACTTATGTAACACTTCTCACAGCGTCTTGACTCTTGGCGCAGCGAGTTTATCGGGCCAGTTGTTTGGAATATCCTGCTTCTGCGACAGACGATATAAATAATTTCCCTAAGGTTGAAATTTGGCTAGTAAGCTGGCATGAAGATTTAAGTGATGGCTTCGCGCAATTGTGATTCAAAGAGTTGTGTCGGAGGAAAAACGTACTTG